GAATTATATGGTGCTTCAATTAACGTCGCAACATTCTTTCGAATTTTACTTGCGTGCGGCACGCATTTATTTTCCAATTATATCCGCAATGCATTTTCTCGTGCAGCGAGCGAGATCATAATATTTTTCAGAGTAGACGCCAGCGACAAGCATTTTAGCGTTCTCGTTAGATTGAGTAAATAGCAAAATGGTCGATTGGGGATGGTCGATCGTAACTCACCCCGAAACAATTTCTTCCACGCCCGGCATTTTCTCCGCGCCCGTATGATGCACTTATGTCCACATGAATATAGATGCATACGTAAAATATAGACACTAACATGCCGCAGTTCCTGGAGCAATTCATTACTTGATATTTTTGAGATAATAGAAAGATTTGAAACAATATTTCACTAAAAATGTCGAAAAAAATTTAAATAAATTTCTATTCATCCCAAACTTGATAATGATAAACGAATAAACATGTTGTATGATAAAATTATATAATAAATGAATATCATTTTTTATATTCTATAAAAAGATATATATATTTATTTATTTTATGAAATTAAATTCTCTATAAAAAAATATATATATAAATTTTAATAACGTTTTTAAAAAAATGTTACATTCTGCATAGAAATTTTCTTTACGTAGGAAAATTTCAAAATTTGAAGATAAAGATAACTTCAAGAAGTGAAAAATAGATTTCCAATGGTGAATTAGAAAGAGAATTGATAAGTTTTATTGACTTGGGAATATTGATTTCACTTCTTGCCTTTTGGTTCGATTCGTTTATCTATCGCTGTAGATTTGTCGAATTAGAATAAGATTCACGTATACGAACTGCGCGAATGAATTTTTTTAATTCTCGCGATAAACGTTTCTCGAAACATGACGTAAGATTATAATCGGATTCAGCGACGATTAATCAAAGTACGATTTTGACTGAGCACAAAGACGCGACTTGGCTTTTCTATCTTCTTTCGTTCTCTCTTCGTCCTCCGCGTGGATCGAAGTTGATTGCAAAATTATGCTCTTTGGGAGCTTCGCCCCTTCTGCGTAATTAGGCCGTATTTGCCTGTCGAACAATTTACCCGTATTAATTATTAATTATTAATGAGACTGTGAAACATCCGATGGTTCATTTCGAACTCTCTTGAGTCCGATTAAATGTTGCATTCAAAAATCATTCAATTTGAGAGATATTAAACAGTAATCGTAATGACAAGCTTTTCGATTTTACTCTCTTTGAATAAAAGTCCAAAAAGCTGACATATAATTACAGTAACATAAAATGATATAAACATATTCAGTTATATTAATATAAATAACTGAATATGTGTTTATATCTCTTTTTTAAAAGTGATTAAAAAAACATGATTTTTTAATAATTAATGAGTTAAATAAATGTGTTATCTTATATCAATCAAAAGTGAACCAACTTAAATTAATTAAAAATTATCAAGAAAAGATGATTAAAAAAATCATTACAATTAAAAAAAAAACAATTTTTTAAGAATTATAAAACGTTATTGACGAAAATGACATTCGATTTATGTTGAGAAATACAATATGTTCTTTTCACCAATGGTATTTGACCAGTCAATAATTTTCTCTCAAGTTGAAAAATAGCTTTTCTCCTTTTCTGAGAAACTTAATTTTTGAATTGTGTCACTTTTGAATGAAGCAATATCTCTTTCTAAATCTGAATTAAACTGAAAATTCAAGCGGGACGTGCTTCTCCATACGTGTGAATTAAACTGAGATAAACGATCGAGATCGGAAAGCTTGTAATTATTTCCACAGAATTTGCAATCGAGGGTGAGATAGGATACGCGACGAGAAATCTACGCAGAGAGAGAAAAAGAGAGAATGGATCGAGTTGAAGAGTTACCTTCCTCTCGTTGAATCAGAAAGAGCCTTCAGGGTCGTTATTTCTCGAGTCGAATCACCTGTTATATCTCCGATCGGAACAGGTGTGACGTGCAAGACGTTTCCCGCAGCGTGTCTAGTGCAAAATCATCGACGTCAACGTGAACGAGTTGCGTATATAGTCTATTTTTATTCATGTGCGGACGTGTGTGACGTGAATGTGTGCGTATGCGATCCTAAGATCGAGGAAGGGACGATCCGTAAAATCGAACCGTTCACGGTTTTCTTCCATGATGGCAGATATATACAGATATATTTCCAGGGAATGGGAAGTTACTTTTTAAAAGTAACAAGTTACAGTTACTCGTTACCGACTAGAAAAAGTAACAAGTTACCGTTACTAGTTACCGTTACTAGTTACCGATTTTTAAAAGTAACTCGTTATAGTTGCCTCGTTACTTGAGAAAATAACTTTTCGTTACTTTTTTAAAATCGACGACCATCAATCACAGCAGAGGGACTTTCTAGTCTCAAGCGCTATGAGTGGCTTGTGTCCAATTGTGTGCAAAGTAACGAAAAATTCGTAAAAGCAACTGTAAAATTCATTACCGTTACCAAAAAAATGTAACTTCAGTTACAGTTACCAAAGAAAAACAGTAACGCAGTTACCAGTAAAGTTACCAAAAAAGTAACTTGTAACTTTGTTACAAGTAACGAGTTACTTCCATTCCCTGTATATTTCTCGGAAGGTCCTTCCGGTAGATCTTCCTTTCTGTTTTTTTTTTTTCCATCACTCTGTCCGGCCCTGCGTAGCCTTGCTTTCAACAACGAGAAACAACATGAACAATTAACGATTTCTTTAGGCGATGGGCGAATTTGTGCGTATCATGTGATCTCTCACACCTCCTCGTCTCTTCATCCCTCTTCGTCTTCATCTCCTGCCGCACGATCGAGAACTTTCCCTCTCTTGTCGCGCTTCTTATTTTACATGATCGAAGACACCTTCCTCTTATTCCGCGTTTTATTTTACGTGATCGAGGACATCCTCTTTCCTTGTTCTACGTTTTATTTTACGTCGAAGACGGTGGTTGCATGTGTGTACGTGTGTATCCGTGCCGTTGACTGCTGGTTTCCAGCTTTTTTTCCCCTCTTTTCGGGAAGGGGGGTTACACCGAGTCTCTCGTTACACAAGCGGAACGACCCTCGAAAAATCGACTTTCCTTTGGTTACTACACCCTATCGCATTCTTTCGTTACTGCCCCGCACTTCGTCGTTCGCGTTCTTTTTTTGTTGATTCGTTGGCCGTATCCCTTCAATGTTCCTCCCTTCCCTAGCTCACCGTTCAAGTGGCTTTAACTTCGTACACTTTTGTTTCCTAAACTACTTCTTCGTATCTTCAATTCGATGGAGACAATCTTACTTTCGTCAGATTTTATGTTTTCGTCTACTCTTCCATAAATCAGCTAAACTTTAACCGTCCTGATTTTCTCCGTGTTCATTTAGAATTCTCGCTGACGCAATTAATTCTTACCGTCTCTCCATCCTGAAATCGACTCGTAATTTTTCCACCCTTCGCGACAGATGAAGCAATCTTGTATCTAAATATTCTAGGTACTGTAATACATTTTCTCGATACATTTTGAAATATCCCAAGAGCGAACGCACGAGTTTTCGAGAGAAATCGTCGAGCGAAACAAAGGATAAAAAGGTAGTCGATAAAGCGCGAGCGGAAAGAACGAAGTGAAGAATAGAGTGTAACAGGTAAAGGGAGTAAGCACGATCGATTCGAATCTGAAATGTAATAAATCTGTCGCGAACTCCGAAGGAAAAAAGAAAATCGATGACACTTGAAATCACGGCAAGCCTAAAAGGAAGTCGAAGTCCCTGACACTTCCTCGCGTGAAATGAATGTTGATCACCAATGTGATCTCGCGCGAGCAATCTCCACGCCCGTCCACCACCGACACCGCCTTTCGCATGGTCGATCTCGATAATCGAACGCATCGTATCACATCGCGTCGCGTCGCATCGCGGCGATGCACCAGGAGGATCGAAATGCGGAACGCAGGATGGAAGCAGAGATTTTCTCGGAATTTCGCGTGTTTTCGCTTCCCCAATGGAAGGCGAATGGAAAAAAAAATGTTGACACTAAAATTTTCGCTTCTCCACCCTTCGACTCTCTCCTTCCTTTCTCGATTCCCGGTCTCGAATCGCCAAACCATTCCTCCTTCCATCATTTGATTCTCGTCCGACATTTCTTCGTCAGTTCCTCGTTCTCGTTTCTATGTTCTCTCAGCCTGTCATGCTGTTTCTCTCTCTCTCTCTCTCTCTCTCTCTTCATTTACCTATTTATCTCTCAATCTCGTCCTCTCTTACTCGTACAAATACATATACACATACATACACGTGCTCACATGTACACGTACATACTACACTCTCTCACTTCGACTCACTTCTCATTACAGGTCTATGTTTTAATATTTACGATTATTATTTGCGGTAATGTCTAAACGAACACATATTATATCTCGATAACGTCGTTCTTATTTATCATCCCGTGCCACACATTTTTACATTCCCCTTCACCCTCCAACAGGTCCACATCGGTTGTATAAGAATATACCAATCCCCCTCCCGCCCCCCGTGCGTTCAAAATACCACCCCCCCCTCTTTCTTTCTCTCTGGCCGAAGAAACTACCTATCTACGGTTTTTCTTTCTTTAATGTTGCTTCATTAAAGTTTAACGACTTATACCCTAATGTGTATGTGTTCTTTTGTGTGCCTATACATCTCCTTTTGTTGAATTCTGCATCTATTCTCTTTTTCTTCCTTCTTTTATCATTCTTTCTCATACACTCATACACATTCGTACACTCACTCTTTCTCTTTCTTCCTTCTCTCATTTCTTCACTCTCTCACTCGCAACGTGTGTAACATAATTTAATATGTAATAATAATTGTGTCGTTATCATTCTATTCGTGTACTTTAACATTACTCTTCAATCGTTTCTCTTTATATATATAATATATTTATATATTTATATATTTATATCGTTTACTTCATTATTTAATCTTTATTATTATTTCTCATCATTATCATTATTGTTAACTATATTATTATTTATTATTTATTATTTTATTTTGTTTTATTCTTTATTATTGTATTATTATCATTAGCTCTAGACATTACGTTTCCCCCGTTCTCAGTTATTCTTGTTGTTTTTGTTGTTAATGAAGTTGTTCTTTATGGTTCTCCCTCTCCTTCCTCTTTTGCTCTAGTCAGCGGAACCGAAGTCGTCGACGAGACCGGCCCGCCGTTCCTCCACCACGTTGATCCTTGGATCCTTTCGCACTCTGCTACTTCCTCACTACTCTCCTCGCAGTGCTGGTGTTCTTTCTACCCGTGTAATATCCCGGGGACATCCCCTGTGTGATCCTTCGTATACATCCTCGTATTTCGTCCGACGTTTTCACAACGTCGATTTGTCCTCGATCGAGTTTCGCCTCGATCGAGTCTGGGTGCTTCTCGAGTAACTCTGGCATCGTGAAGACAAGCTCTCGCGAATATCCCGCGATAGAAGAAAACCCGTACGATCCTGCGTATTCAGGAAAGCGAAGCTGGTCATCTTATGGCGGGTCCTTCCTGGAGATCGATTTGGCCGAACTTGCGACGTCTATCCTGAGAACCCTGGAGAGATCTCTTCTTCTCCTGCGATGTCGATGTGCTGCCCTGTAAATCACTGGACGTTTTCTCCGAGGGACGAGCTTCGCGTACTGCCCGCCTGTCGAGCCGTACTTTCGCCACCGACGCCACAGCCACCACCAATCGCGACACCGACACTTTGCCGCAAACTTGAGGAATAGCTCGAGGATAGCGATCGACACGTCGCGCAAGACGGACCGCTGGGACGCGACGCCGAAACGACGGAGGAATTTCCAGCGGAAATGCCGGCTGCTGGATCTCCTCCAGGACCTCCACCACCACCATCCGCGACAACGGCACTTCATCACCGCCCGTCCGGGCATCCCGAGGACGAACAGGAGGCAACGTATGACGGTAAACCGATAGATCCCGGTCGAGCGTGGATCAAAGGAAACGCGAACATCGTTGAAGACCCTCCGCAGGACGAACGTGCCCGAAAAGAGCAGGCCGGAACCGATTAGTCGGAGGAATCCGAAGGGACACTCCAGAATACGGGTATTGTACTGCAGCGCGTTCGCAGGGAGGGTGATCAGAATTGAACAAAGCCAGAAGAATTGAAGGACAATCGATGGGTTCGATCGACCGAGCGAAGATGCGCTCGACATCGAGCCGATGCGGCCGCTACCGCAGAATGCCGTGTCCTTTTGGCCGACGGTGGTCGAAGATGCTGTGGTATTGGACGAGGAAGGAGTGGTGCTGGTGTCCAGATCGTCGGTGGATGTTTCCGGTTGACCCGGCTGCGAGCCCGGACCTACGGTCAGAACAATGTCGACCTGTGGCAACATTTTTTGCAACACTGCTTATCACTGCTCACGTTTGAACGCGTCCAACATAATTCATTCAGATAGTTCAGCAAAATTATCTTCAGTATCTAGCTAAATTTTTAGGTACTTCAACAAAACTGTTGCGAGTAATTAACGAGAAATAACATCAACTTGCTATAATACTTGGATAATGATTTAATAAACACACAATTCTTTATAGTCGAATTTTTTTGTCTACACTCTGTATTTATCGAAAGAGTAAATAATCCTCACAAATCTCTCAGGAACATATTCGCAAACTTAAAAACTCATATAATTTGCGTATTTACAAATAAATACTGTATTGTACCATAAAAAACATTTATAGATGAAAAATGTAAAAATAAAGATTTTTTCATTTTTATGAATTTTTTAATCAAAATTCTTACAATTCTATCAATTGTTTTAATCGATTTTTGAAGTTTTCGTCGCGCCTACCTGTAGAACCAGATTGAAGGTTCACTGGGGGCTCGCACTGGGGTGCCGTTGCGGGATCCTGAAACTTGCCATGTTTCCACGGCTCCTCGCATTTAGTGCAGATACCCTCTTTGGTATCCTCGGAGCATACGTGGAAGCAGCACTCATCGTCACTGATGCTGTGCAATGCCCTTGCGGCCTGCTCGCCGGTCTCAAGGATCTTCGGGTCTGAAATCATTGCATTTTCCAACGACCTCGTATGGACGGATGCATGATGGTCGTTCTCTTTACACCCAGAGGAATTTGTCAGGAAAAAGAGATGGCAGGAGGCAACACAAATAAAGTTCAACAAATCATAGTAATTATTTCTCGGTAGTTCCTTTCGGAGGAGAGGAAGGAAAAATGCTTGCGTATGTGAAATGTTACAGAATAGTATATCAGATTAAAAACATCGTAAACGAGTTTCAATTCCGTAAACAATTTAGTAAGCGATGATCTCTGCGCGTGCACACACCTATTATTTTCAACGCGATTTTGTCGCACAGGAAAGTCTGGATCTAATTGATTAAAAGCGGATTAGTTGGCACGTAGCCGCTGACAACTCGCCAGATTTTCTATAAAGGCCAATTATCAATTAATCCAAGATCGATCTTTCCAAGGACGATTCTCGTTCGCAACTAATTGGCAATCGATTTTTACGAAGAATTGCGAATCAACGGCGGACGTTGCCAACTTACCTACCATATCTGTCAATTAGAGTTTCTTCTCTCTACACGACAAACATCGCAAATAACAGGATAAATGTCTGATAAATTAAATTTGTTTTCTAATTTATTTTATTCCGTGTTTCTCTCCACATGTTTTTTATATAGGTTCCATATCTACGTTTCATCGTATTTAATTCGATCTCTTTTAATCAAGTGCTAGTTGCCCATGTTAATTCTCATCTTAAAATTCCATCTTCGTGTTCTATTATAAATCTGTCGCGCTGCGAAAATTTACATAAACAAAGAGAAGAAAAAAAGGGAAAAGAAAAAAAATATTTTCACCAATCGTAACAGAAATGCGACAACAAAATGTGAAAGGTTGGATTGCAGCATTCGGGTTGGAATTACATCGGGCAATCTTGGAGTATTGGTAGGCGCGGATGCAAAAGGATGTAAAAAAATGCCCGATAAAGGGTGTCCAATCTTCCAATAACCGTGCGGCACGCGTCCTATTTAACGCAGTTTATACTCAAACGCGGTGCTGCACCTCCGCCGTTTACGACCCTCGCATCGACGCATGAAAAGAAAAAGAATAACGAAAAGATATTCGATGATTCAGAATATTCGTCCGTGTGTGTTTGGTTATATTAACCCTTTGCGCTCTGTACGCCAATATAAACAGAAAGTTGCACTGAAAGGAACACCTCGTATAAAATTACATATTAGGAAGTTTTTACAATACCGTTTATTCAGATATGGTGAACACTAAGGTCAGGTTATCTTCTTCTTAACAACTAAAAAAAGGATACTAAAAAAAGGAAACGTGACTTTAGCGTTCATCATATCTGAATTCACGTTGTTGGAAAAACTCCCTATTCATGGAAAAAATTCTGCTGAAAAATCTTAGCTAGATATGGACTTGAAAATAATTTTATTGGATTATTAAAATAATTATGTAGAAAGAGAGAGAGAGAGAGAGAGAGAGAGAGAGAGAGAGAGAGAGAAAGAGGAAATATTCAAGTAATGAATAATGCTGCAAAAAGTTTTCATATTCTAACTAGTTTGAGCGTCTTACATAATTATTTTGACAGTTCAACAAAATTATTTTCAAATCTATATTTAAATCTTTAAATCCTTCAACCAAATTGTTCTTTCCGTGTGATGTTAAAACATTTATCTCTTCACAGAAAGAATGATTACTGAAGTATCTAAAAAATTGGTTAGATACAGATCTGAAAATAATTTTGTTCGATCATCAAAATAATTATATAGGACGTTTAAGCGTTGATGACAATGTTGCAAAAAGTTTTAATTTTAGCCATCAGTTTTAACATGCTACATAATTATTTCATTATTTTGATGGTCCAAAATCATATTTAGATCTGTATCTAATTAAATTTTTAGCGAATTTTACTTTAGCGAAACGGTTCTTTTCATTATTGTTTCATCATTGTTTTAATAACTGTTATGCCGTTATACATTATCGAGTTAATAAATCTCTTAATAAATACATATCAAATTTGTCTCTTTCGTCTTGTGATTTTTAATACAATCGTATCGGAATATCCGTAGCACCGAGCGTAAAGAGTCAAGATTACCGGGTCAACGGGACTGACAGTGAAGCGTGTCATGCTGGCAGAATGATAAAATGTCAGATAGTGGAGAGACCAGTATCGTGCTATCGAGGGCAACACAGTGCGAAAAAATTCCGTTCGGAAAATGCAGATACGCGCCAGTTCAACGGATAAAAATTGAAAGAATTCATATTACGAAAAATTTATTATAAAAAATTACGATGCGAGCCTGAAATGTCATTGATCGCATTACAGCGTGACGCGTGATGCAATAAGGCAATAATAATTTACACGAGTATGAAACGTCTCCACCCCCGGCATAAAACGTCCGCATTGTTTCGTGAAGCTTATGCAGGGCGTTCCACTACGGCGACCATTTATGCGTATCTTCATGCAAATTTCTGTGCCGCGGATTTAACGCTATGACGTGAACGCCAAATGAACGTTCATCATCGTCGTGAACAAGAGGAAGGATTGATAGTGGCGTGATGGATACTGGTTGCCTGTGTCTCGTACCATTCTTCGCAAACTTACGAAGCAAACAGGGTGCCAACTGAACATTTGTACCCTTTTTCGAAATAATTCATTAAACAAAACAAAACAAAAATGAATAAATCGAATGAATATTTCGACTAATTTTGACATTTTTTGGTGATTATCTTATTGTGGTTATTTTATGTGATTATTTTATGAGTATCTTGTTTTTCTCTTGTCTTCTCTCTTATTTTTACCTCTGCAAAGAAAAGTGGGTTCGCCGGCGTATTGTGTGGGGTATGCGGGGGCACGATCGCCCGGAAGGAAGTAGGGGCAACGTTGCTCCACGGTCTGGCAAAAGGATCGGCAGGGCCTTAATCTGGGGCCGGTCCAGCTGCCCTCCAAGGTTTTCACGTCTTTCGGACTCCTGTGAGCAAAGTAAGGCACCAGGGAGCTGCACACCCATTTCCTATACGCCTCCTGCAATCAGAATTATTATGCACCGTTAGAGTTAATCTTTTTCTACAATATACAATTTAATTATATACACGCAGAGATACGAGAGAGATAATGTATATCTGATCCGACAATGAAATAAAATTAAATTAAACGGCTTAAGATTTAAAGCTTAAGCAACGGCTTATTGTAGAAGGTCTATAAAACCTTGTCTAATTACTTCTGTATAACAAAATGACAATTAAAGGGACGTTGGAAGTGAATGCGATAAACAATACGCATTTCTGGTAATAGGAATTCTTTGATAATTAGACGACGTACATAATTAAAATCGCAAGAGTTCACTTCTCTATGTAATAATAATATAAATTGTTCGTAAAATTGTATACTTGCTTAATTATTATTTTGTGTGAAAAAATGCAGAGACTTGTAGAAAAAGTTCAGTAAAAAATTTTGTATTTTCAGGTTGAGGCTTTTAATACGAGCTTTTATACAATTAACCTTCTCAAGCTATTCAAGATGCGATTAACGCAAGCGAAAGATATATTACGTATATTACAAAGTAAGGAATATTATAAAATAAGGAAGCGGAAAATGGATAAACTAACAACTTTTTTTTTTTTAAAGAACATTAAACTTTAATCCTCCCAGACTCTCAATTAATGTATTTTCTCATTAACATGAAGCTTTCCTGCATTTGTCAAAAACATAATTTTCTTGAAAATGCATTTGTATGTTGGAGCATGCAAATAATTATTAATACAATAATTTCTTTCGGGTATTAATTGCATTTTCTTGAAATGATTCTATTTAATTTAGTTTAGTTTATTTAATTTAGAATAAATCTCTCGTTTATTCTTGCAAGATATAAGACAAAAATATTTTACGGTCTACGTTCTAAAAAATTGCAATTATAGTGAATAATTTTGGGGGATCCACTATTAAAGATGTAAATTTATACACGTAAAGAGAGTCACAACAAAATCTTCTTTATAGTAATTAAATAATTTGCAAAAATAAATTTACAAAAACACGTTTAAAGTTAAGTTTATAAAAATATTTACGTATTATATTTGCGAACAAATTACATATAATTTCTCTTAATTTACATTATTAATATGTATAAATATGCAAATAATACGCATCATATAACATAATTTTACATATTTTTTTTTATAAATGTATATTTTATTCGTTTTATACTTTACAAGATTTAAAAAACATTGCGAAAAAGTGAATCGCAATACCTATAAGTTTTGTTGCTAGATCATCGATCTAACAAATTTATACATTTGCATTTGTCATAATAGACGGTGAAATAAAAACTGTAAGTTATATAGAAAAATCGAATATGCTTGAAATTCGAATAAAAGCTCGTGCGAGATAATTCCAACGTTTGACGTCCCCAAGGAGATCACAGGATAGGTCAGATCCGTTTATAAAACGAAAGGGCACCGCGGAAGAAGAAGAAAAAGGCATAGCATCGATGTCGATGTCGATCTAGACGTCCATCAAAATTAGCTGCCTCCCGCGGGACAGACTGGCGGCTTATACGATTATGCCACGTTTTTCGAGGACTATTTGTCAAATATCAAGGATCTTTGAGGTCAGCTGAAGTCGGAATAGGCAATAAGGCGTGTCGGTGTCTGACCCACATAGCCACCTTCAAATATGAACACCACGATGAAGCGCACATCCTTCCGAGAGCATGCTATAATTACATACCGACTGACTGTGCGGGTCTTTTATCCACCACTAGGTTGTCCCTGGAATCCCTACCTTGCTACAAAACACGGCTAAAGTCAGAGTAAATGTACTGAAACATTCCTCGAAATTTGAGAATGTGAAAAGAAGTGAAGTATTAGCTCTAATCACAAGAATTGTCACAAATTCCTCGTCCTAAAATCCCATAGTTTTTCTCTAATTTCCAGATAAAATTTCATGACTTTCTTTAATGCTTTCAACATTTCGAAATTTTTTGTATTTTCATCCTGATTTGGAAACTGTCAAATATTTTGTTGAGAGAACAAGTTAACATAGCAATGTAAATTAACATTGTTGACACTATTTGTATTTAATTGTTAAGTTGATAATATTCTAAAACTACACGATCGCATATCCAAATTTTTTTAAAACCAAGAATTTTTATTTTCCAAAAATTGTGCAAAACTCTCTGATTTCTACTTTTATGGCAACCCATAATTGTTTAATTCTGTCGCAAGGGAAAGACGACGCGAATTAATAACGGATACATTTTTGCCTTCGGATGAAGGATGACAAAATAGTCCCGACGAAAACATTTCTTTGTATAATACGCGCTGCCTTTCAAAGTTATCTAACTCTGAACTTCTTCTTTTAAACCAACCCTGAGGGAGATACATATACAGGTGACATGCTTCTAATGGATCTATCCTGCATAGGAAAAGAAAATTTGATACGCGACGAAATTTATCGTCTCCCCTCGACACAAATTTAATTCGTGAGCCCGACGTTTATCGAAACCTTTTGATTTTCAACCGACTGTAAGCAATTAATCACCGGACGAATTCTTTGCCGAGCGAGAACGAACCAAATAGCGCATTTCAATTGGCGCAATTAATTTCTCGCCACAGGGAGCCTGAATGTAAATAATAATTAAGAGGTACATGACTCGTTCTCGAAACACCCGATAGACTCCACCTTTTGGCGCGGTCCTTGAACAGAGTTTATTAAATTCGCAATGTAATTTCGCGATCACGACTGGAAAAAGGGGAGTAGATCAAAAGCGACAAGGGTTGAAGCGTCGCCGCTTTCCGCTAGGAAAACTTTGCGCACTGAAAATTCCGAAGATAAAAGAGTAGCAGTATTGTAGCAAAAGTATAAGCAAAGCTATAGGACAGGGGGTCGGATTTATAAATAGGCTAACCGAAGTACAGCTTTCGAGTTTCGTATCCCGAGGGGTCTTGCATCCTCTTAAAAGCGAGCTATAAATAATGCAGATATCTCCAACTTTTTAAATATTTCGCTCCGCTACTGGATTATGCGCAATTTACTGCATCGCGTATCAAATAATAAATATTATTTGAGATATATTTAAAAGTGACGACATTCAAGCTAATCAAAGCTTAGAGACTCGAGTCCCGAGGGTCCCTACACCATCTCTTAAAAGCTAAGTATAAATAATTCAGATGTCTCCAACTCTTTCATTTCGTTGCTGAATTATATGGAGATTACTTCGTTGGAAATCCATTGAAAGATATTTCTCTTAAAATACATTTAAGGAGTGACAGTATTTAGAGGTCTGCGCTTCCAAAAGTTGCGAGCTTTAAAATAAAGTGTTAAAAGCTCAGCTGAGCTGTGCTCTTTTTCTTTAATTCATTAACAGATATTCCTGCTTCGCGAGAAAAATGTGGATCCAATGCCATTATGCAATGGCATCATTCGCGCTTGTATTTGACCGAGAAAAATCAATTCAACACGAAAGCCTCGGGCAATCAATATAACAAAGAATATCGATTACCCTCGAGAGATATTCAACGAGATATGGATTTTGACCTTATCGAGTATCACACGTATGTACGATGCATCATCGAAATACGCAATTTCTTCGAGTGGAGCACGCTGAACGAGTAACGAATTTCTGACTCGCAGTACTATTGGAACGAAAATATTTTATAACGAGCAATAGAACGATGCAAGAAGTACTGCATCTCACGCAATCTTATAGTTGCTGAACGTCAGCTCTTTTTAACATTTTGTCAAAGTTAAATTATAAGTAACACAATTAAATAAAAAAGACCACAAATGTACAATTTTCAGTTTAAGCAAATTGTAAAATTGCTCGAAAAGTATACAATTCACACAAAAATATTAGAAATATCTAATATAAGTTAGCTAACATAAATTAATCAAACTAGTCAAACGCCGAAACCCTTCAGAGAAGCCAAATAAGACTCGAGAAGAAATATTTTCCGTAACATAGCGAAGATTCATTTCCGACCTTTCTGTCGCGTCGCTCCAATTCGCTATAATGGCGATGTCGACGAGGAGTGGCAAGGGGAAAGGCTTGGTAGGAAGGCATGAGAAATAACCGGGACAACAAATGCGGAAATGCAAACGACGATACAGAGGAGATGAAGGGAGAAAGTGGAGACAATATTATTCGGTGATTACTGAAATTATAATGAAAATTTCAGTTCACGGAAATGCATTACTCTCTAAAATCGTCTATACAAAAATGCACAATAAAAAAAGCATTTTTACACTTGTGTTAAAATCTCGTCAAAATTTTTGTTGAATTTTTAACATATCTGAATATTAATTTAACATAACTTGATCGTATTATTTACATATTTTAAATTGATATTTAACATTTCTTAAACATTGTTAAAATAACACAATTTGTGAATAAATCAATGAACATAAAAATGATGTAGTTTTTAAGATGTAATTCTAGAATAAATAAATAAATACACGTATTAATTTAACATATAAATGTTAATTATGCTGAAAAAATATGTTTCCACAATTTATTCCTAAATTGTGTCAAAGTGCTACATTCTTGTATAAATTTTGTTTTCTATACAATTTTGTATTAATTTTTTACGTATTCATCTTGTGGTAAATTAAAATTTTGAATAACTATTTAGGACACGTAAAATATGTTAAATTCAACACAAATTTTCCAACTATGTAGTTAAAAAATTAAAAAGTAATCATTAATGATCAGTAATCGTTCAAAAACTCTTTTATATTTTATAATACAATAATATTTTTCTATGAACTGTCAGTCAGTTTAAAAATAAATTTAAATATAAATTACAATAATTTTTCACACATAAATCGTAGAATAATTTTTCTTTTTCAAAAAAAAAAAATGACAATAAAATATATTTATTTTATTTTCACTCAATTAAGATTAGTTCTCGCATGACACTGAGACTGAGGTTGCATTAGCATACGTCTCCGCTTTAACGCGACCGTTAGTTTGTCATACGCTTTACCTTCAACGCTACAGTCCTCTCGAGCAGTGCACGAGGATAGGC